CAACATACGAGGCAGCGTGATGAAGGTTGTGTAACACAGCAGAGTAGTCAGATCCCGTGCTCTGCCTCCTGTGATGGGTTCCCTGAGTATTGCACTTGGCTCCAGCTCATGTTCCAGAAGGGCACGAGGCTGCTGTCAGCCCTCTGTCATGTCTGCCGTGGATGGCTTTGATGCTTGAGGGCATGGGCCTTGCTGACAGTGGCTGATCACTGTATTCTTGTTTGGTAGGAAGGTACTATGAAATGCAAGAGAATTCCACTAATATCTTACCTTGCTTTTTCTGTTCATAACTTAGTACAAAATTCAAGATGATGCTTGAGGCTCCTAGAACACTTAGTGTAATTATTGCCGGAGACGAACCTGCATTTTTTAAAATGAACTGTATTTAGTATTTCATGGAAGTAGAATTAAGTGGATCATCCAGGCTCTAAGGTAGCTCAACAGCACTTCTTTTTTTTGAATGTGTTTGTTTCCAAAAGGACCTCACAAATCAGAAGTCTGCAGGCATATGCAGCACTTCTGATTTCAAAAATGACACAAATCAAAGGAGGAACAATGTCATGAGCTTTGTTTTAACTTCTAAGATGATTTCTGAAACCACAGCAGCAGAAAGCATACTTCATGTGAAGTTTTCTATAGAAGAGAAAGGACATAGAATTGAAAGAGATGTAGGATTTGGGATAAACCTCCTCATTGGGAAACCTAAAGTACTTTGAGAGGGTCAAAAGTAGACTTGGTTCTAAGCTTCTCTGCTTGGTGACCTTATATTTAAAGAGAGAGCGAGACACACACATATATTTTGTGTGTGTATATATACATGGGGAAATATGGCAATATGCTGGAAAGAGGAGGCAGTTGCAGAGGTTGGCTGTAGGCTCACAGGCCCAGGAGGAACTTTTCACTCAGCTCAGCACCTCAGCATTCACAAGGGAACTGGGAGAAAGTTGGCTACTTTGCCAATGAGTCAGTTTCCTGCTGATTTGAGGAGTTTACCTGCCGTCCTGCATCACCTTCCTTCACCAGTAGAGCTGCTCACCTTAATGGGGACAGGATTGAGTCAGGACAAAAGGAAGCCCAACAAGGCCAAGTCACAGCACTTGCTCATTGTGCTCATCCAAAGGCTGAACCAATCCTCCACCAGAGAATCCAAAGCCTCACCTTTCTGAGGTGCCCTGAGAGCCTCCTCTCACCCTGCCTAGACCCTACGCAGCATCCAGCAATGCCATGCTGGTAGACAACTGTCTGCCCAAGGTACTGAAAGGGACCTCTGCAAGAGGTGGATCAAGCAAGAGCTCACCCTTTCTCTCACTCCCCAAGCAGGACCTGAACGGCCAGCACAGTGGGACAGCCATGACAAATAAGCATTGAGCTTGGGTTTACCTTTGGACGAGTTGCAGTTAACATCTGAAGCTATAAAGGAAGAAAAAGATGAGTGAGGGAAAACAGGACTCACAGATGCGCCACGTGGTCATTAGGGCCTGACATCACTTATGCTCTGCCACTGCCTTCCCCTCAGGCTTCATCAGGCAGGAGAGGAAATGGTTAAGAGACCTGGTACTCACTGAGGGTATCCCAAGCCTACAGTTCATTATGGATTCATAGGGAGTCGATAAGACACCAGGATTGGCGCCCAAGCATGTGCAAGAGACATCCAAAGAAAATTGACAGAAACCCCAACCCTGGATTCTGATGGAAAGCCATCCCTCACCCTACCAGACCCTTCCCTTGGGTCTCGGCTGTGTCCACAACACTTCTGAGTGGAGAGTTTCACCACGGTGTTGGGGAGAAGCACCCAGGTGATAGAAGGCACCTCATCAGAGGCAGGAGGCCTCAAAACCCATACCAGTTACTCCTCAAAATCTTCAACGTAGGTGTTGTCTCTTACCTTGTTGATCCATGGTGCTCTGCTGTCCTGTTACCCCTTTAACAAAAGCATTGTTTGTTAGACCATGCCTTCTTTAAATGCAGTTTGGGGAAAGGAGCTCTCTGAGAACTCAGAAGTCAAGCTGTGTGCCTGGATCACAGCCAGGATTGTTCCTTTCAGTGTGACCCTCCTGCTGATGTTCATGTCCCCATGGAAAGCTCAGGAGTAGGAAAGGCGAGAGCTGGCAAGAGGACCTGCTCGCAAGCCCAAAATCCCATCCCTCCACATCCCACCACTTCACCTAAGGAAGCACGTGAGGAAAGCATCAGGCAGATCCTTCCTGTTTTGAGCCCCAAGGGAAGTAACAAATTCTAAGTCTCTTCAGCTTGGAAAATGTCAGCGAACAATTTGAAAGAGGCTTTCTTACCTGTTACAAACAGGAATACACATGGGAAAAGGATGAGGGAACAACATATTTTCGTTCGTCTTCTCTGGAGCCAGATGCTCATCTTTTCTGATGTAAGAGACAGTGAAAGGTGGTAGAACAAAATCTTCTGTGAAACCAAGCACCACCTCTCTTCTCTCTCTTTTAAACCTTGTGTTCTGTGTCATCCCAGAAATAACTGTGACATTACGTCTGACAGGATCACCTGCCCTGCTCTCAGCACCACTCCTGATTTTTACAAAAAGGTCACTGTGAAAGCAGTATTTGGTCTGAGGCTTCTGCAAGATTCTGTAGTCTAACAACCCTTTCCTTTCCAACTTCCTCACAATTAATACAGTGACAATTAAAAGGCTGAGAGCTGGGTGTTGGCCACAATCCTTTCAAGCCTTTGCAGCTGCATCCACAAGAGTCAGAGCCCATCCTCTGCCTCCTGTCATGGGTTCCCTGAGTATTGCACTTGGCCTCCAGCTCATGTTCCAGAAGGGCACGAGGCTGCTGTCAGCCCTCTGTCATGTCTGCCGTGGATGGCTTTGATGCTTGAGGGCATGGGCCTTGCTGACAGTGGCTGATCACTGTATTCTTGTTTGGTAGGAAGGTACTATGAAATGCAAGAGAATTCCACTAATATCTTACCTTGCTTTTTCTGTTCATAACTCCACCAGATTACGATGATGATGCCTGAGGCTCCTAGAACACTTAGTGTAATTGTTGCCAGAAACCAACCTGCATTTTTTAAAATGAACTATATTTAATATTTCATGGAAGTAGAATTAAGTGGATCAGCCAGGTTCTAAGGTGGCTAAACAGCACTTCCTTTTTTTGAATGTAGTTGTGTCCAAAAGGACCCCACAGATCAGAAGACTGCAGGCATATACAGCATTTGTGATTCAGAAAATGACACAAATCAAAGGAGGAACAATGTCATGAGCTTTGTTTCAACTTCTAAGATGATTTCTGAAACCACAGCAGCAGAAAGCATACTTCATGTGAAGTTTTCTATAGAAGAGAAAGGACATAGAATTGAAAGAGATGTAGGATTTGGGATAAACCTCCTCATTGGGAAACCTAAAGTACTTTGAGAGGGTCAAAAGTAGACTTGGTTCTAAGCTTCTCTGTTTGGTGACCTTATATTTAAAGAGAGAGCGAGACACACACATATATTTTGTGTGTGTATATATACATATGGGGAAATATGGCAATATGCTGGAAAGGGGAGGCAGTTGCAGAGGTTGGCTATAGGCTCACAGGCCCAGGAGGAACTTTTCACTCAGCTCAACACCTCAGCATTCACAAGGGAACTGGGAGAAAGTTGGCTACTTTGCCAATGAGTGCCAGGTTCTAAGGTGGCTAAACAGCACTTCCTTTTTTTGAATGTAGTTGTGTCCAAAAGGACCCCACAGATCAGAAGACTGCAGGCATATACAGCATTTGTGATTCAGAAAATGACACAAATCAAAGGAGGAACAATGTCATGAGCTTTGTTTTAACTTCTAAGATGATTTCTGAAACCACAGCAGCAGAAAGCATACTTCATGTGAAGTTTTCTATAGAAGAGAAAGGACATAGAATTGAAAGAGATGTAGGATTTGGGATAAACCTCCTCATTGGGAAACCTAAAGTACTTTGAGAGGGTCAAAAGTAGACTTGGTTCTAAGCTTCTCTGCTTGGCGACCTTATATTTAAAGAGAGAGAGAGACACGCACATATATTTTGTGTGTGTATATATATATATGGGGAAATATGGCAATATGCTGGAAAG